GAGAGAGAGACAGAGAGATACAGAGAGACACAGAGATATATAGATGCCATATTTATAGATTGCAAGGCTCAAATATTTTAACATGTCAATCAATTTACAGATTACCTGTAACCCCAGGGAACTTTTGTAGATATTGACAAGCTGATCCTACTATCACATAGAAAGGAACTAACGAAGCCATGTCATTAGTGAAAAAGAACACTAGTCAACAAGATTACCCACTTTCCAAAGGTCCCAAAGCAATCCAGTCCAGAGAGTATGATGTTAGATCAGCAGAATACAACAAGGGCTCCAGAGTCAATGAATCGTTATATTTATGACATGTTTTATTTAAAGTATTTAATATTTAAAATTAGATAAAAATAAAATATATTTTAATCATTACATCTATCATCCCTATCATCTATTATCTATCTATCTATCCATCCATCCATCCATCATCTATCTATCTCTCTATCTATCTGAAGGTCTAAGAACAACCTGCTGAAGCCAGTTCTCTCTTTCCCCCATGAGGGTCCCAGGAATCAAGTTCAGGCTGTCCAGCTTGGCAGCAAGTGTCCTTATGCACAGAGCCATCTTGCTGGCCCCTGGCTGATTTTCCTTTAAATATCCAAAGAAATTCAGTTGGGAAATGTTGGTCCTTTTCACAACTTGTGCTAAAATACTTGGGCTTACACATGCCCAAAAAGTCTTTGACCCATTTTCACACCTTACTCAAAACTCAAGTTTAATCATAGACCTAAATGTAAAACATGAATGTATGAAATGTATAAATGAAAATGGGAGCATTGTTAAGACTTTGAACTCATGAGATAAATTCTTAGGAAAGGGACTAGTTTTCCTATGTGATAAGAATGGTTCTTTAAAATGCAGAAAAAGATTATAATTGTCTAAGGCTTCAAATTTTATTTTCTCACTATTCAAATAATGAGCCTGAGCATGAATGAGCACATTTGTAATGTAACCATACTTCCTCTTTCTCTACCACCCAAACTAAACAATTCTGGAGCAAAATGATGAAAGGAATGGCCCTGTTTGCCCTTTGCTCATATTTCTTCACTCATTTCTCATCACCTGGTACTGTTTTGCAAGTCCCTATAGGAACAAAGTAAGATATAACAAAGAAAGAAATTCAGTTGAAAAAGGAAAAAGCCAGGGGTTGTGGAGATGACTCAGTCAGGCAAGTGCTTGCCACTCGGGCATGAGAGTCTGGGTGCAGCTCCCAGAACCCACATAAAAAAGCCAGGTGCAGTGGTTGAACTTATAATCCCAGTGTTGGGGAGGTAGAGGCAGGCAGGTCCCTAGGGCTCACCACCCAGCCAAACTAGCAAGCCGAGGCCAGCAAGACCCTGTCTCAAACAAACAAGATGGAACTATGTCTCACAAACAAAGTGTGGCTCCTGAGCCTGTCCTCTTGTGGCACGTGTGCACGTGAGCACACACACACACACACACACACACACACACACACACACACACACACACGACCACCTGCATAAAAACACATGTGCACATTAAAAGAAAAATAAAATACTCTAAGTAATTTGATATTTCACTGACCTCTAGGTGGACATTTGTCCTTTTTTGCCCCAAACCATACCTACTCAGGCCACAATTCTGTGCCAGAAATAAGACTTCCAGGATTGTGACCAGGCGTTCCAGTAACACTCTTAACCTGACTAACTCCCTTCTCAATACCTCACTGCTCAGCATCCAAAATGTTAGCTAAAACAGAGGTATGTCTCCTTCTGGGGGACTGTAAGCTCCGTGAGAACAACACCATTCTCATCTTTAAGGATTTTGGATTCGCCACACTTTAAACTGTGTGTGGCGCACAGTAGGTGCTTTGTGGGGTGAATACTGCCTGAGGCTTCGATCGTGGTCACTTCCCTCCACATTTGCACAGTGATCCTAACAAACATAGCTGAATGAGCTGGCCCTCCCCACCTCCTTTCTCCAGGATTAGTGAGCACTCATTCTTCCCGCAGCTTCTGGATTAACTAGGTACTGAGGAGAGGGGATTGTGGGAAGAAGCTCCATTGTCCAGGTTCTGCAGCCGAACACCAAATGTCCATTGATACCCACCATGTCCGGTGGAAACAAGAAGCATCAGTCACCTAGCACTTCGGTGAAAACGGACAACACACGTGACTTCCAAGCAGCACTGAACACTATCCCTAAAGGTCACACACTGAATCCAGGACAAGGAAGCCTGCTTCCTAATCCCGGATCTATCACTCGCCGCGTGTTCACCAAGCTGTGGCCTGTTAGTTTGAAGGCAGGTAACAATGCTGAAACTGAGCCATGGCTTTGAGCAAGGGAGTGCTCTCAGGAGAACTGAGGAGGCCCTGGGCTAGGGTGGATCGCTAGGGGAAGACCATAGTCATCCGTGAGATTTTAGCTATGCATGGCCCCTCCTGGAACTCCTCCAAAAGAGTGAGCCATTATCTCTCACTAAATGACAGCGATACATAGAAAACTGTCACTCATACGAAGGGGCATGGCGAGAGCTTACAAAGCCTTTTTCGGGTTTCCTGTGTGAGTTGTCTGACAAATGGGCCTATGACTCTGCATGACAGACACCATAGGGGTCCAACCCAGGGTGTCCCTGCCTTTCCTAATAATGCTATGCTCAGCTCCTTTCCTGTCCCCGGCCACATCCTCCACTTTTCCTCCTGGCCTGAACTCTAGATTTTCAGGAGCTATGACTGGGTGCCCACCCTTGCCTTGGCCCTCGCATGCAGACTTCTGATCGTATTAGACACAGAGCCCGGGGGAGAGGAGCCCTACCCCAGCTCAGAAGAATTTCTGGCAAAACCAAGCACAGCCTCAGCTCTGCTGCTAAGGACTGCTCTAGGGGTAGGCTGCCCATGCCAGCCAATGTCACATGGCCAATGACAAGAACTGTAAGGAAAATTTAATGTTCTTATCTAAAAGAAGACTGAGGAGGAAGCCCTGTCCTCTCTGCTGTGGATACTATTATGTCAAGGAAGGCGATAGGATCTCTGGCCCCCGTGGAAGTCAGAGAAAACTTAGAGAAATTTCTAGAAGGCACCTAGCGCTGTAAACTGTCCCTTCCCCGCACTCAGACATCCTGAGGGGAACAATAATGTGACCTAACTAACGCAGCATATATTAAAGTGTGCCCTACCCTGTGACCAGGACAGTACCTCCACACCTTCTGCTCCAAAGCCTGTTCATTTTCAATTTAGAGCTAAACTACGCTTTCCTTGGGAGGACTTCACAACGTCCCCAGCGAGACAACATGTTATCTGCACATACACCTTTCCTCAAAGCATCCACCCTCACTCTTCACAGAGGCTCTGGCACGTGCTGGGAATTGACTAAATGAGGAATGATTGAATGAATAAAGCAGGGACTGAAAGCTGGAAATTCCAGCCCTGGCCCTGACAGGCTGGCACCTAGGCTGTCCACACGTATAAGCAAGGCCTCCTTGAGGTGTCCTCAAGGAAACATCGACACAGTGCAACACACAGTCCTATTTTTGGCTACCCAGAAATGAACCTACTTCTTGAGAACAGGCCTCCAAATAGCCTACACTTGAGACGGGGCAGTCTATCCCAGAAGCTGAGCTAATCCTCCGTGGTGTTGGTGGCATCTGGCTGATACAGGTCTACTCCGGTTATGGAAATCCATACCCTATCTGCTGAGATGGCTTGGACTGACTGTGGTCCAGTGCACCATGAAGGTCTGCTGAAGGGTAGAGTGCCTATCTCTCCCTCCCTCTCTCCTCTTCCCCTCCCCTCCGACTCCTCTCATTTCCTTCAAAGATAGGCCTGAAGATGAGGTGCCAGCTCTATTGACCATCGCATTCCAAAGAACATGTCAGCCTCGTGGGGGAAAGAACTGAGATGCCCCCTGAAGAGAGCACTTGTCCTGGGAGCTCACAGAGTGGCAATATTTCTCTATCCTCCAACTTTTCATTTGAAGGACCCAGTCAGTTCCTACATTGCACAAGGCAGCTTTCAAGTCACCAAACCCGAATCCTAAGAAACGAATTCTGACAGTTCCCAATGGCAGGAGCGGGATGATTATATCCTTCTACAAGGGGGACATGTGCACTGACGCTCTTGATCTTGGCAGTTAGAACAGCCCCACCTTCATCCCCTGCCGCTGCCACTGCCACCATCAAATAGTCAGGATGGTGCCCACCCTTCCCAGGCACACAGGGACTATCACTTTTCCTCTGGATGTCTTCTGTTCAGAAAGATGCTGGGATCTCTAAAGACATGAAGTGTCGAATGTGTTAATACCTGAAGGATAAACATGGAGGAAAACCCCTCAAGCATGCTAGACACCTCACGGGCGTCAAATAATTTAAGGCCATCTTATGATTATAGTGCCTATTTTATCTTTGAGGGAACAGGCTCAAAGTTAAAGAGCTTGCTCAAGGTCACAGAGCTAGTAAGTGAACTGAAATTTAAACACCACTCCGGACTACTCTTCCCACTTCATCACTCTGATCACCAGGCACCGGGAGGTGGGCAGCACCCCTTCACCCCACAACACCCCAGGGCACACAGACCCGTGCGGACTTAGTACGTCTGCCCCCCTGGAATAAGGGCAGCCCCTTCAACCCGGCTTTACCGAAGCCTAGGGAACTAACCAATGTGTTGGTTAGTGATTTCACAGTCAAAGTAAAGCGCCAGGCAGGGGGAGCGGCGGCTCCCGAGGGCGGGGATGAAGCGCCGCAGAGGGAAGGGCAGGAGCTGGCTCACACTTGGCGGTGCAGTCCGGCCCCAGCCCCAGCCGTGGCCTCCGGCCGCCGCGGAGTCACCGAGTCACCGGGAGACCCGGGCAGCTCAGCCCGGCGCGTCCAGATGTGGGCAGCTGCGCTCCCCTGCGCTCCCCTGCGGCTGGGAGAGTCCCGCGTTGGGTTCCGCGGGTCTTAGCGCAGCGCCCGCCGCAGCCGCTCGCCCCTCCCAGCCCCGGCTCTGCAGCCCCGCACGCGGCCACCCCGCAGAGCCCGCCCGGCTCACCTACGCGGTCGCGGCCCGCGGACTCCCGGCGCCTCGCTCGGCTCCCCGCCTGGGCTCGCGGCACCCGCCCGGGGCTGGCGTTGGCTGGGACCGCGCGGGGCGGGGCGCGGCTCCTCCCAACCCCGAGCCACCTGGGGCGACCGGGAGGGGCGGGCAGACAGGTGAGAGCCTCCCGCGGGGAGGGGGGGTGCCCGCGTGGGGACGCCGCCTGGATCCTGCGCCGGGTGGCACGAAGCCCAGCGAACGCGGGTAGGTCGCTTAATGCACCCGAGCAGAAGAGCTGTTCCCACCTAGCCTGGCCGGTTGGGAGAAACGCATAGACCCGCGCGGAGCAGCCAGACGAGAGGGATACTGCCGTCCTCACAGAGTGGGGTGCGAGTCCCTCAGGGGTGAAAACGGTGAAGCCAGGAATGCAACTTACTTCAGAGACAGAACTCAGGTCTTTTAGATCCTTCGATCCTACCCTTCTCATGCCTCACCCATCCCTCAAACGATGTCTCGTCCTCTTTTGAAAGAATGCATTATGCTATAACTCAGAAAAATCCCGACTGCGATGTCCTCCCCAGCTCTGGATAGTAAATCCAACCTTGCTTCTCTTCTGCTGAATCTCCAAAGCCTTGTACAAACCCAGAGCAGCCCGGGGCTCTGTTGAAAGCAGAATGCCGGAGATATGGTCCCCAGGCCAGGCTGGCCCCTGTCTTACTCTGTGTTATCATTTGAAAGCAAGCTTCCTGGCTTGCAGGCCACTGGCTGTATCCCTTTCCTTCCCAACACTTCCAACCAGTTTGTAGGAGGCCTACACTCTCAGGATAACTGTGTAAGTGTTCAGGCAACTCTCTAACTTAGGAAGGGGTCGCAGGCAGAGGGACTCGCAGAACAGAATAACCTGTCTGACTTCACCAGTGGGAACCGACCCAGGAGGTGGTCTGAGGTCCAGGCCTGTATCTCCAAGGACAGCAGAGTGGCCTGGAACCCTCAGGTGCTTGGCGGGGCCTGCTACTAGGCAAAGTTGGCTGGAGGCCGATCTGTAGAAACTAGGCATGGATGTGGCCTCTAGAGACCCATGGGGCTCTGCCGGTCAAGGGGCACCTAAGCCAACGGCATTTACCGAGGTCCCTGACAGATTCTAAAAGAGTGAAACATTTTTTAAAGTTTTCCATTTAACAGATAGATGACCTTAACACACACTTAAGGTCTGTGCAGTGCAGCTAGTCCCACATTGGCTTCATTTATGGAGTCACAGAGACATCTACTCCAAGCCTTATAGATGGATACCCTGCTCAGCTTTAAAGATGCACAGGGCCCATCCTTCTTGTAACTATTTCAGGGTCATTCCATGACTGCATTCGAAACTTCCAAGGCAAAAACGGAAGGTGCCCTGCCAAGGTGATATCAAGGCTAAGTGGACTGCTCCATCCCTTCCCCTGACTACAGGCTCAACACTGCCAAGGCCTGGGCCCCTCTTTCATCAGTGGATCCTACACAAGGGAGTATTTAAGATCTGGTGCTACCTGGGCAGCCTGGTTACACTAGACAGGCCATCCTGGAAAAATAAAAAAAGTTACAGAGGATGCCCCACCTAGGTGTGCCCAGCCACAGCTGCTTTTCCCCCATGGCAGATACGGAGGCTGGTGTCCCAGGGCGGAGCCACGGCAGGGCCTGCCCTATGGGTCAGTCACTTGCGCCAGCAGCTGGGGCTGAACAAAGGAGCCGCTCCAGGTCCCACCCAGGAGAAGCAGGCCCAACCCTCTTTATGTTTGGGTTTCTGTCAGTGGAGCGTGTGATTTAAGATCCTCTGGTGTGTGTGTGATCATGGCTTGGACAGCCTTGGGAGTGATGCCACCCGGAAAGGCTGAAAACCTTCCAGAAAACACAATTCTACCCCAGAACCTTCCTTTCCCTTCCCCACTTCCCTTCCCCCTCCCCTTCCTCTCCCTACCTGCAGCATGTTTCTTTTTTGTTTGGTTAGGATGATATACATACATATACATATATATAATAATTTTTCATTATTATCGAGGCTTTTATACATGTCTACAACGAAACACTATCATATTCACCCATTCCCCCAAGTTCTCCCCCAACACAGTCCCTTCCCGATTTCATGTTTTCTTTTCTTTTCTTCCTCTTCCTTTTTTCTTTTGGATGACCCACTAAATCCAGTTAGTGTTGCCCATATGTGGATGGGGATGGGGTTACTCACTGAAGCATGGGAAATCTACCAGTGGCCACACATTCAAAAACAAAAGAATAATTGTCCTCCCCCGGCTGCCGTCAATTGCCAAGAGCTCCTCAGGAGGGAGTGGGGCTGGGAGAGCACCTCCCCTACCTGTGTTGGCTGTATTAACCTTGTGTAGGGTGTGTGCAGGGAACCACAGCTTGTAAGAGTTCATGAGAGCAATAGCTACGTCGAGGCCAGAAGTCTGCATTTCACAGCGCCCTTCTCCATCATCAAGGCCAGAAGTCTGCATTTCACAATGCCCTTCTCCATCATCTGGCTCTTACATTCTCTCCATTATTCCCTGAGCCAGGGAGGAGGGTATTGAAGAAGAAGTCCCATTTAGGGAAGAGTACTCAGTCACTTATTCTCAGCACTAGGACAAGTTCAGCATGTTTCTTTATTTAAAAAAAAAAAAAACATTTTAAAAATGTTTAATTATTTATATATTTTATGTATGAGTGCTGTGTCTGCATGTACACCTGCACCCCAGAAGAGGGCATCAGATCCCATTATAGATGGTTGTGAGCGGTCATGTGGTTGCTGAGAATTGAACTCAGGACTTCTGGAAGAACAACCAGTGCTCTTAACCCCTGAGCCATCTCTCCAGTCCACATGGTTCTTGATGGGCTATTTCTTCCGCGTGAACAAGGTGAAGCCCCAAAACTTGACAAGATTTTTGCAGGAACGTTGCTGAAAAGTAGTTTGTGAAACCTGGAGTTCTGGTGCTGCTGTGAGGGTGGGTGAAATAAAGCCTGGGAAATGTTGGAGCGGTCCATTTGCATCAGGCTCAGGAAATGGAGCCCTGGCTGCATTGCCTTGGCTCTGGCTGCCGGTGCAGAGAGCCCACCTGTGTCTACTAGATATTAAAGATCTGGAGAAAGGGAAAAAAACCACTGAAGGGTGTCTGAAGATTCTAGGATGAACCAGGTAATTCTTGCAAATGGATCAATTTAATACTCTTCTTCCCGATGTCTAGGGAAATTATGTTTGAGCTCCATCTTTTTCTCAATCTCTAGTTCTCTGATGGAATAATAAAAGGAAAGCTGAGGCAGGGAGATGGCTCAGTGTGTAAAGTGTTTGGTGCTTAGCTTGAGGGCTTGGATTCAGATGCCCAGCACCCAAGGAGAAGTCAGGCATGGTCGCTTGGGTCTATAACCCCAGAACTTGGGGAGGAGGTTAGAGGGACAGAAACAGGGAGATTCTGACCTGATTGTTGAACTCTAGGTTCAGTGAGAGAGCCTCTCACAAAATATAAGGTGGGTAGTAACTGAAGAAGACACCCAACATGGACCACTGGCCTCAGCACAGGTGCATAAGTGTCCCCTCCACATGAACCTGTACATACACATACACTACACACAAATAATAATAATGAAGTATGAATAAAAAGAGAACATATCTGGGGCTGGAGAGATGGCTCAGAGGTTAAGAGCACTGGCTGCTCTTCCAGAGGTCCTGAGTTCAATTTCCAGCAGCCACATGGTGAGTCACAACCATCTGTAATGAGATCTGGTGCCCTCTTCTGGCAGGCACAGAAAACGTGCAGACAGAACATTATACATAATAAATAAATCTTGAGAGAGAAAAAAGTATCTAAAGAGGGACAGAATTTTTTAAAAATGAGCCCCAGGGCATGCTTTTATTTTTGTTTTTGTATTGTTTGAGACATAGTCCCTTTAGAATAACCCTAGCTACCCTGGAACTTTCTATGTAGACCAGGCTGGCCTCGAACTCACAGAGATCTGCCTGCCTCTGCCTCCCGAGTGCTGGGATGAAAGGCGTGCACCAACCACACTCTGCTCTTGGTACATTTTTTATTGAGACTATATGTGTAGCATTCTGGGCACTGAGAAACCACTCATTTAATTATAGTTAGCATGGGAGTACTATAGAGAAATAGCCAGAAAGATTCAGGTCAGAAAGAACCAAGAATCTAGGATTTAGTTTCCATGGCTCTGCATCCAAGCATTTGAGTTTAAATGAGAAGTTGGGAGATGTAAAATACAATGATAACTAGCCTTTAATGAGTAGCTGCTTTGTACCAGGCACTGTTCTAAAGGCTCAGAGTCCTAAGCCAGAACCTCAGACCCTGCAAATGGATTTGGTATTGTGGTGTTCTCTCCCTCCCCACTTAATTCCTTCTAATTACATTTAGCATCTATAGATGAAATTCCAAACAGTCTTATTAAATAAGAAACACAGAGCCAAATACAGAGGTAACAGCCAAAGAGATCAGAACAATAGTCATGACAAACTTTAGCTTACCATCAGCAGTAGCTTCCCCAGAGAGAGAGTTTCTTCCTGTCTGACTTGTGTTTTTATTGCCTTCCTGTTCTGTCTTCTCATTGGCTCTAAGCCCAGACACATGACTTCCTCGTCACTGCCTGTCTATACAGACCTCCAGGTCTCTATGGTTGGTACTGGGATCAAAGGCTCTGTCACCTCCCTTGGCTGTGTCCTTGACCACACAGAGAGAGACTCTGCCTGCCATGTGATCAGGGATTAAGGGTGTGTGCTATCACTGCTTGACCTCTGCTTTTGGCTCAGTATGTGACCTCGCTATGTGACCTCTGATCTCCAGGCAAACTTTATTTATGAACATACAAATAAAATCACATTTCAGTACAAATAAAATATCACCACAAGCATCACTCTTTGAAGAGCTGAAACTCGTCAGCCACATGTTCATGTGACAAGTCTATGAAATGTGACACAGGCCACACCCTCAGGACCAGTGAACACTGACCTAGGACTTCAGGGGTGGTGAGGAGTCACGTTAATGCCATGCAGTTGTATGGTCCCCACCTGGAGAACCACTTTCTTTCCTTGCTGGGTCTAAGCGAGCATGGGGCTGCAGACACAGCAGGAGTGATTATTAAAGCAACCTTTCCAGGGCTCCTGGGAATGTCAGCTGGACAGTGATCGGGGGAAAAAAAAATCCAGAATCATCTCTTACTGATTGTGAAACCCGCCACGTGTACCAAGGACAGCCAAGGATTGAGTTTCCTAAGGTTTTAGATGTTAGTCAGAGTACTGATGTGGCAAAAAAAAAAAAAAAATAGTTGAAGTAACCTTCCCAAAGTGCTTTGGGCATACATCTCACGTCCTAGGCCAGCCTGCAGAATTTTCAAGGTGGCACACTGTAGCTCTGTATCCTTGAGGGGACTTAAAAAAGATGAGGTGGGCCCTCCTGACGTGAGCAGAAACCAACACTGCCATAGCGTTCCGTCTGTCTCACTCTTCACAGTCCCCCTGGGGACCAGAGGGAATTTGCTCGGCTGGTTAAAGTCCAGCGGCTGGGAACATCCTTCCTTTCCTTGAATTCAGAGCAGCATGGGAGTCTGGGCTGCCAACTCGGGATCTGCTCACAGTTCTGGCAGCAAGAATATCCAAATGCCTTTCGCTTGTGTTCCGCTCGTCATTTTTTGAAGTCCTGGCAGTCAACCCCCAAGGCTCACAGGCACAGTATCCCTCTGAGCTACATCACCAGCTCCTGGTGCTGTGTTCCTCAACCCACAAATCTGCTCTTGAGCACTCTGATTTACGTTAGTTTCAAAGGCAACCCAAATGCATCATCCCCATATTGAGTAAGTAGAGGAAGGACTGTTTTCCATACTAGGATGGAGAAGCTTCTTTGTGTAAAAAAAAAAGTTCTATAAATTCCCACTAATATTCCAGCCAGACGCTTCCTCAGGAGCCTTTACAGCTGGCTCCTTCAGTTACACAGGCCTTTCCCACCATATTTTCTTTTCAGCATTGGAAGACCCTACATCACTTTACAGAGCGCTGCTGCTGCCTAGATTGCAATTTGCCCTGAGAAAAATGAAGGCTTGTTTTGTCTTGTTCCCCAATTCTGCCGAAGGCAAGGTGGACGCTGATCCCTCTTTGCTTTCTGTTGCTGTGTTAAACACCATGATCAGAAGCAACTTGAGGAGGAATGGGTTTCAGTTTACAGTTCATCACTGAGGGAAGTCAAGGCAGGAGCCTGGAGGCAGGAACTAAAGAAAAGACTATGGAGGAATGCCACACACTGGCTTGCTCTCAAGGCTTGCTCGATTTGCTTTCTTATACAATCCAGGACCACCTGCCCAGGGATGGCATCGCCCTACACCACCAGTGAGCTAGGCCCTCCCACTTTAATCCTTAAACAAGAATATGCCCTATAGACATACGTACCTGTAGGCCAATCTGATGGAGGCAATTCCTCAACTGAGATTCCCTCTGCCCAGATATGTTGAGATTTGTGACAAGTTGACCAAAACCAACCAGTACTGTATTCAAATGTTTGTGGAAAGAATCTCAGAGTATGATGTAACACTGTCAATTACTAAGCCAGTGTTGGAGCCCACTAGGTTTCCTAGTGGCTGTCCCCAGCAGGACTGCATGGGAGGTTGATTGGACCACCACGGGCCTGGGTACCAGGTGTTTGTAAGGGTCTAACTAGCAAGGGGGAGGTTTTTCACTCCACCCCTTGGCATTGTTATAACCAGACCTTTGGAATAAAGTTCTGGGCCGGTGGATAAGGATCCAGACCCACTTTAGTCTATCCTGTGTTTTCTCTCCTCTTTCTAACTAAGTATCTTATCCCTCGTTCCTCAAAAGTCCCTGGGGTAAATAAATGTGGAGGCTGGTCCCCTACAAGCCAGGTGTTTGGAGCATTTGATTCACCAAGGGAGAGAGGCAGCTACTGGGATGTTATCTAAATTGCTATCTAGAATCACTCTTCGCCCCAAGATCCCTGGCCCATAGTACACACTCAACTGATGACGGTGGCAAGACATTTCCACAGCAGATGTCCATCTTGATGTGACCAGTCACGTCAGAAAGGCTTCCAATGCTGTGGTGCTTCTGTACTGCAAGTGCAGCTTCCATCTCGATGTGACAAAGGTTGATGCAGCAGAACGGACCCTGAGGAGAAGCCCTTGTTCTGGGCCTGGACTCCTTCACTGACCACATGCATGAAGTGAGTGGGGCCATTTGACCTGAGTAGAACTAGATGGCTCTGCATGGTCCCTTCCCATCCTGCTGTTCTGTCGTCTGCCAGATGGTCCTCAAGTTGCCTCTACACATTTGTTGAGGTGTTCTTTAAGAGCTCTTCAATTTATCTGCTCCACATAATTAAATGAAAGCCACTTTGAAAGGCACTGTTTATTTCATTTACAATTCTTGGGGGAATTTGGGAGTGGCATTCAGTAACAGCTACCAACCTGAACCTTTGAGATGGGTGAGTCAAATGCTGTGGAATAATCCCTTTGTACACTGTGAAGATTTGTCACTGAGATTGGTTTAATAAACAAGCTGACTGGCCAATAGCTGAACACAATAAGATTAGGCAGGAGAGCCAAACTGATAACGCTGGGAGGGAGAAGGGTGGAGTCAGGAGTTGCCAGCCAGACGCAG